ATTACAAGCATGCACTACCACACCCGCTTTATGCCTTGGTGAGGATCTCACCCAGGTCTTTATATTTGTTAGATAAGCACACTATAGTGACTGAGCTTCATTTTCGTGGTTTTGGTGGGGGTTTTTTGTTTATTTGTTTGTTTGTTTGTTTGTTTTGGGTTTTTTGTTTTTGGGTTTTTTTTTGTTTTGGTTTGGTTTGGTTTTGTTGTTTGTTTGTTTTGGGTAATTTGGGTACTTTAAAATGTCTCAAAACTTAGTGCTGAGATGCGGTCGGGAGTTCTCCAGAACACAAGAAGGCAGTGATGTGTCTCGGGAGGGGAGGTGTACGGCAGACATGCTTCATCCAGGCGTGAGCTGGGGCTGGGTGTGCACTCAACATTGATTCGTCTCCCAGCTGAGATTCTCAGCGCTCAAGAGGCTGAACCAGGAGGATCCAGAGTTGGAGGCCAGCCTGGGCTGTCTCTAAAGACCCTATTATACCAAAGCAAACAGGAGCTGGAAAGGTGAGTGGAGTTGAGTCTGGGCTGTGAGGCCCAGCCAGACACAGGGACACAGGACGTGAGTACAGGGGTGTGGGGTTCAACTGCGAGAGAGAGGCAGAGAGAGGAGAAGGAGGGAAGGAGGGAAGAGAAGAGAGAAAGTTGGCCCTGGAGAATTCTGGAAGGATTTAAAGGGGGCAGGGCTGGCCTCTGCTCCTTCATACAAGGTTGGGGGTGAAAAGATGGAAAAGTAGGGGTTCTCCTAGAGGATGCCAGGAGTCTAGCTCTGAGAGGACGGAATTCCTAGGTTTCTCGGCCTCAAGAGAGGCCGTCTTTGAGACTAGCCAATGGCTATGCAGCCCACAGCTCCTCCCTCCCCCCCATCCCTCCTGGCCAACAGGACACGCCTGGGCTGCTCAACAGCCTCTGCCCCAAGTATGAGCTTTCCCAGAAACCCTTCCCTGATTCTGACATGAATTCTGATGCTTGCTGAACCCCACCTGCTGGCTTCCAGGAGCGGTACTAGGGAGCCCTGAGGAGTCGCTGCTCAGGTAAAGGCCTCTATACTCAGAGGTGCCCAGGACTTGGCACACCTCACAGGGACAAGTTCTCCGGAGGAGGCTGGAGGGGGGTAGCCTGGACCCACGGGCCATCCTGGTTCCTGGTGGTGAAGGGAAGCACTCCTCACTCTGCTCTAGGCTCTTCTCCCTCTCCCCAGCCAGCAGAGGTGACAGAACTGGGGGACCGGAGCTGAGTGGGAAAGGGGCTGAGCAAGGCGGAGCTGGGCTGCAGACAGAGCAGCAATGCCTGACTGAGCCTGTAGAGCCCGGGGTTAGGGCTAGGCCTCCCTGGGTGTTCCTCAGACGCTGCTGCCAGCTCCACCCACCTGAGACAGTGACTCAAAGCAAGGCCACCACGTGGCCAAGGGGTGAGTGGTATAGACAGATGGGGTGAGGAGCAGAGACCCCCCCCAGACACTCTCACCCAAGAGCCCCCCAGGTAGAGAAGGGAGATGCATTGGAAGAGCGAGCAGTTCACTAAAACTCAAGGAAAGGACCCCAACTCAAAATGGGACAGTGTGCAGAGTGAACTCGGGAGCCAGCCTGCCTAGGTCTGAGTCCCGACTTTGTTACTTACCAGCTATGTGCGGCCAAGGGATTGCTTAAGCTCTCTGACCTCCATTAGGTGAGAAAAATGCCATAGCCCTTGCTATGAGGGAACAATACTGTATTTTTTGCAAAGTGCTTTGAGCAGTACCTCTTACTGCATAAACACGGTCTGAGTTGGCTGGGACCACACCCTGCTTTGCAGCTGACCTTTCAGGGTCATGTGGATGGTGACTTTCCACCCAGGCCAGCACATGAAAGTGTGTGGCTCCCTACTTTCATCAAAACTTCCTAGAGTGAGCCCACAGTGTCTCGGCCTCAGTGGACCCCCATCATCCCCCAAGAATCAGGCAGAGAGGACTCCCTGGTGGAGAAGGAGGGACCCCTTTGCCCAAAAGATGAATTTGCTTCTGTTGGCCATTCATGCCAAGTTCACCAGCAGAACCCACCCGAACAGCATTTTCCACGCTGGTGTTTTGACGAAGCTGTCCGACAAGATGATCAAAGCTGTGTCAGGATGAAAGGGGGCTCTGTGGTCAGAGGAGTCTGGGCAGTGCTGCCCTATTTCATCCCGCTTCGAGGGAGTCACAAAGTGAATTTATTAGCATGGGTGAGCAAAGGGACCTACTTAATTCTGCTGAACCCGGCTATTTTGTCTTGAACACAGAATTATTCGTGTGTTCATGATTCCTGCTGCCTGCCTTTGGACCAGGGAGGGTGTCATGAAACAATAGTCTGGGAAACATTGGCCCACCTGCTTATTCTGGGGGGCCTCTTGTATAAAGAGCACTGTGGTTCCCCTCTTTAATCTAAATTGTCCCGCCTTCAGGTAAGTAGCACCTCATTGCCTGGACATTTGCAGTTCCATCCCCCAAGCCAGCAAAGGACAGAGAACAGGTTCCTTTTAAAGCGGGTAGTCTGAGGGGGACTAGCCCAAGGCTCAGGGACTCAGGATGACTGGTTCCTGGCATCAGCACCCACCCGCTTTTATGAGCAGGCCTGCTCTGACTTAATAACCTATGCCTCCATGCCAGCTCTGCATTTAATAGTCACGTAACTTCATAAACGCCTTTGTGCCTCAGTTTCTCTCAGCTGTAAAATGGGGGTGATTAGAGTACCTAGTCCTGTAATGACACATTTCTGTGAAGTGCTCAGACCGAGTGTTCCGTAACGTGGGAAATTCCATTCTCCTTCCCCTGCAGGAGCAGCCCGCCCTTGAGTCCACCATGAACTGGACCGTCTTTGAAGGGCTCCTAAGTGGGGTCAACAAGTACTCAACAGCCTTTGGTCGCATCTGGCTGTCTCTGGTCTTCGTCTTCCGGGTGCTGGTGTACCTGGTGACAGTTGAGCGTGTGTGGGGTGAAGACCAGAAGGATTTTGACTGCAACACCAGGCAGCCGGGCTGCACCAACGTCTGCTATGATGAGTTCTTCCCCGTGTCTCATGTGCGCCTCTGGGCCCTGCAGCTCATCCTGGTCACGTGCCCCTCCCTGCTGGTGGTCATGCATGTGGCCTATCGCAAGGCTCGAGAGAAGAGGTACCAAGAAGAGGTTGGCAAGGGACACCTTTACCTGTACCCTGGCAAGAAGCGGGGTGGACTCTGGTGGACATACGTCTTCAGCCTGTTGTTCAAGGCCAGCATCGACGTCATCTTCCTCTACATATTCCACGTGTTCTACCCCCAATATACCCTCCCGTCCATGGTCAAGTGCCAAGCAACACCGTGTCCCAACACAGTGGACTGCTTCATCTCTAAGCCCTCAGAGAAGAACATCTTCATAGTCTTCATGTTGGTGACAGCCGTCATCTGCATCCTGCTTAACCTTGTGGAGCTGGCCTACCTGGTGATTAAGCGGTGCTCTGAGTGCATGGCATCGGGGCGGGCACTCACTGCACACCCAGAGCATGACCCAAACTGGGTCAGCTCCTCCAGCAAACAGAAGGACCTCCTGTCAGGAGACCTCATCTTTCTGGGCTCAGACACTCACCCACCTCTCTTACCAGACCGCCCCCGAGCCTATGTGAAGAAAACGATCCTGTGAGGGGTCCCCAGGCTGGACTGGCAGGGTGGGCATGAGTCGGAAGGTTCCGGTGTCTCTCTCGCAGATGTATCCGGTGAGGGAAGAGCTGAGCTGGAGTTGGAGGCGGGCAAAAGGGGAGACCCCCCACAGCCTGGGATCCAATTGTCTCTCAGCTTTAGGCCACTTGTCCCGGCTGAGTGGCCTTCACTGAATTACCCCTCTGTTCTGTACCTCAATTTCCTTTTCTGTTAAATAAACACACTGAGTGCCACTTAACAGGGTTTCCCGGAGGAGGAGTTTCATGGGGGCACAGATGAGCAAATGCCTTCCATGTGTGGCCCAGGGTGAAAAATTAATAAAGATAAATGGGTTCACAGATTCAAGGTGCCCTTTGGTCTTGGCCTTTGTGATCTTCCTGGAGTCTAGGGGTCATCCTCTCCTCAAGAAAAGGGGTCTCTAGCTTTTTCCTGGGGACAGTTCCAAAGCTAGCCTTTTGCCCTGGCTGGGAGTCTGGGCTGTGGGTGTCTGCAGAGAAGATGGGGTTTCGTACACGGAGAATCGCATGTTGCCACAGAAACCACCCAGATTCTGGAGTCTGTGTGGCTGCTGCTTCAGAACTTAGACGACTTCAACTCCTCTCCAAAGTGAGTTATTAATGTATAGCCTGTGGGGGTCACTGTGAGCACTGACAAGCTCCTGGCGGTACCAGGGTTAGCCAGCCAAAAAAGGTCACACACATGTGACTCATCGCTATTAGGAAGTACTCAATAAATGCTTGTGTGAAATGAGGCAGGGACCCCTCCCTGGGTGTACATTAACCTCCACTGTCCCCGCCAGACACAAGCCCAACGCTCCTCTGTAGCCCCTGCTGGGACACACGCTAGCTTCTCCAGAGGCATTTCCAACAGAGGCCTAGGACACACAGGCCATATGCCTGGCCCCAAGCCAACAGCAGCAGCATTTCATGTCACCAGCCTGCATTCCTCATCTCCAGCAGGGCAGTGGGTTCCCTGGTCTAGAAAAGACAGGTGGCCTGTGTGGGTTCTGAGACAGAGCAGCCTAAGATCCTGTCCCCAGATAGAGCCCCAGCAGAGCGGCACACAGTCCTGGGCTGAATCAAGGCTGTCCCTTTCCTTAGAAACCAACCACCGAGGACCTCTGGACCAGATGCCTGAGGACAGGACAAAAGAGAGAGTTGCGAACCAGGGGACGGAAGCGACAAGCTGAAAGGGTCAAGAACAGGATCGGTGGCACTAGCCCCATCCTGTACCTGGACATTTTGGCACCAGACTCCTGCCTGCCTCCATCGCTGTAGTCCCACCCACATACCTACCAACCCAGACAGGCTGGAGGAGCAAGGTGTGAGCCAGAGAGATGAGCCACAGGTGTTAGCTCTGCACTGTGCCCAGGGAAGTCCTTCTGCCCAGCCTGCCTACCCACCCTGGCACTCTCTCTTGGCTCATTGGCTCAGACAGCCCCACCCTGCTGGGAAGTGAGGAACAAAAGCTGCCTCCAGGAGGCCCTCGGGCAGACAGACAAGCCGGCACCGGAGAGTGAGGACCCACGGGGACCCAAGAAGGGTGAGGAGAGCTGGGGGAAAGGTCCTAGGGAACCTAGGCCTGGGCACCCAGCTTCAGAGGGCATCAGGGGAGGGCAGGGTCCCTGAGAGAACCCTAGGAATCCTCCACAGAGGGGAGGAAATGGTGGGCTGTGCTGTACTAAAGGGAGGCCAGAGAAGAATCTAGAAGAGACCGGGGAGAAGGAGGCTACAGCTCAGTTTACCCAGCATCCGTTGAGAGCGCATGAAGCTGACAAGAAGCTGGGTCCCAGGAGACAGATGTACAGTTTGTCTTCCAGCCTCTAGCAGTCTACCAAGGAAGGGAGACATTTGGCGGGGCCACTGGAGTGCATGTGATGTACCCTGCAGTGGAAGACAGGGGGGGGCCTCAGCCTGTGTCCTGGGGATACCTGGCTGTAGAACCCAGGAGCTGAGTCAGAGACAGTGCAAGGAGGGCTGGAGATGGAACATCACAGGAACTCCAGCCAGGGGATAGCAAAGTTGGGGTACACCGAACATGCCTGTGTGAAAATAATGAACGATGTGACTATCAGACAGCCACTAATTAGGCAGTCAGAGAAGAGGGGTATACCTGGGAAGAAAGATCAATGTCAGGGCAAAGACCCTACCAGGACCCAGCCCCTGCCTCCTCCCCATCTCTTACACACACACACACACACACACACACACACACACACACACACACACCAATGAAATGGTTGGAATTCCAGAGGGACCCACCGTGGTCCAGGTTTCAAGACAATAAAAAAGATGAATAAATAAGTAGGACAATCTTCTCCACTCTGACACGGCAGGGTGGGAACGGAGCCAAGCCACAGCGGTTGCCGAAGAGCCCGTGTGTCGTTTGGGAAGGGATGTCTCAGAAAGTTCCCAGAGTCTCAAGGGAGTGAGAATGGAGACTGTTCTGAGATAGAGACCACAGAGCCAGGCTGGGCATTTCCAACATAGGGCCCTGCCAGTGCTGAGTCCAGGAAGAAATCGATGGATCTGACCACCAATAAAGGCCTCCCTACCCTGCCCCTTCTTGCCCTCATCTAGTCCCCAAAGCTGATGGAAGAGCAAATAATCTGATACTAGAGGTCTCTGGGCCACTACGGCTGAGACTGGCATGAAAGGGCCGGCTGACACACGCATGTGTGGTGCTTATGTCCCATGTGCTTGTTTCTTTGTAGAAGGAAGGAGACCCTGACTTTTGGAGTCTGGAGACCAGGGTTCAAGACCATCTGTGCTACTTGCTGCTGTGAGATCTTGGGCAGGTACCTGTCACCTCTCAGTCTTAACACACTTTCCTGTGAGATGGGGACAGTGGCCGTCCCTTCTCTGAGTCACTGCGAGTGAAGACACAATGGCCCCGTGGTTGTTGTGAAACAGTCCTGGCCTTGACATCATCTATAAGGACACCCCTTTGTGGGTTCTCCCAGGCCTTGTGACTCCCGGGGCCTGAGAGGTTAGCACGCACGTACGCACGCACGCACGCACGCACGCACGTCCACGTGAAGCACCGAGGACACAGCCAACATGAACTGGGGGTTTCTCCAGGGAATCCTGAGCGGCGTGAACAAGTACTCCACCGCACTGGGCCGCATCTGGCTGTCGGTGGTCTTCATCTTCCGAGTGCTGGTGTACGTGGTGGCGGCGGAGGAGGTGTGGGATGACGAGCAAAAGGACTTCATCTGTAACACTCAGCAGCCCGGCTGCCCCAACGTCTGCTATGATGAGTTCTTCCCCGTGTCCCACGTGCGTCTCTGGGCCCTGCAGCTCATCCTGGTCACCTGCCCCTCCCTGCTGGTGGTCATGCATGTGGCCTACCGAGAAGAGCGGGAACGGAAATACCGCCGCAAACACGGGCCCAACGCCCCGGCCCTGTATAGCAACCTGAGCAAGAAGCGGGGCGGCCTGTGGTGGACATACCTGCTGAGCCTCATCTTCAAAGCTGCTGTGGACTCGGGTTTTCTCTATATCTTCCACTACATCTACAAGGACTATGACATGCCTCGAGTGGTAGAGTGCTCTGTGGATCCCTGCCCCCACACCGTGAACTGCTACATCTCCCGACCCACGGAGAAGAAGGTCTTCACCTACTTCATGGTGATCACGGCAGCCATCTGTATCCTACTCAACCTCAGTGAGGTCGCCTACCTGGTGGGCAAGAGATGCATGGAGGTCTTCCGTCCCCGGCGTCGGAAAACTTCTCGGAGGCAACATCTACCAGATACATGCCCGCCCTATGTGATCTCCCAAGGAGGTCACCCCCAAGATGAAACCGCCGTCCTAACAAAGGTCGGGATGGCCACGGTGGATACAGGTGTGTATCCATGACCTGCAGGTAGGCCTACCCGGTCACTGCCTGTTCACAGAAGCCACCCAAGAAAATGGGCAAAGGCAGTGTTATCGTCTGCAGCAGGTCAGGTGGGAAATATGGCTATGGGGGCTCCGGAAGTTCATCCAAGGGCTAGTAGAAGATGGGGAACACCCTTGAGTCCCTAAATCCTGAGCCTCCAGGGACTTGATGGCTGGTGGGATTTTATATTTGTCAATAGAGTACCTCAACCCCCTTAATAAATACAATGTTCCCAGTGCTTTGTAGACAGGTTGTGTGTGCTGGGTGTAGAAGTTTGGGGGTGGTGTTTCAGATGGGTCTCTTGGAGGACACTAAGTCACTAAATGATCATCTGAGCCCCAACCTCTTACACCACACGCACGCATGCGCACACACACACACACACACACACACACACACGCACACGCGTGCACACGCGTGCACACGCGCGCACACGCACATGCACGTCACCAGGACATAGAGAAGAACAGCAAAGACAGGGCCTACACCAGGGGCCTCACAGCTTTGCAGCAAGCTATCTAAGGCCGGAAGACAGGGAGCAATGGAGACCCCGGTCTAGTTCTCAGAGAACATAAGTCTGTCCATGCATTGTGTGCGGTTCTACTTCCACCTCCTGACCTCCCTAACCCTGCCCAAAGCAGCTCCCATGTGGGGAGTACCTTTGAAGGTAGGAGAATGGTGTTGGAAGTAATTGAAAGATGGAGTCTTCCACGGGTCCAGAGGACATGCCACAGCCCATCAATCCTCCACCAAGAGACTTCCCTGAGTTACCTCATCCTCCCCCTACCCTATAACCACACATAGATTGACAGTCCCATAAACATCTTTCTATCATGGACCTGTCTCTGAGTCCACCAGCTGCCCCTGGAAAACTCTCAGGGAAAATACTTACATAGCACAACTCTCAACCCCTAACTGGCTTTGCCTTCCTCCCCACGAGCTGCCCTCCTCACAGAGACCCTGCCCCATTTGTGAAGGGCACTGCCATTATCTAGCTGTCCAAGCCAGAAGCTGGCCTATGACCCTCACTCAACCTCTCCCCCCACCCCACATCAGCTCCTCGCAGCCCACATCCTGGCACAGCACCACAGAGCACTGATTCCAACCTCCGAGGGCCTCCTAAGTTACCTCCTCTGTCACCCCATAGCCTGCCATCAATCTTCCCACAGGGCCTCTCAGATCTACCCTCCACACCTGGATGGAATGATTACTCAGTCCACGAATGTGGCCATGCCATTTCTTCATCTTTAATATTTCTTTCAGCACACCCACCCCCAAACTCATTGCCCCCAAGCTGGCTCTGCTGACCTCCCTATTCCTCCACGACTTCCTCCCTCAGCCTACCACTTACTGATAACAACACCTAGGCATTCAGGATGCTGTGGTTGTGCCTCCAACCTTTGCCATACTGATCCCTCTGCTTGGAATGCCCTCCTGCCCCCTCTGCAAATGCCCTCAACCCTCAAGGACAGCCTTCACCCACCACTTTGTATGCCAGAAAAGCTCAGGCCTCTCTCCTGCCCCTCTCCCTGGGTTGGAATCTCTGATACCCGTGAATGATACCCATCAGCCTGTGAGCCCTTTCAGGACAGGAATGCTGAGTCACCAGCTCCTTGCAGCCTTCAATAAATGCTTGTTAAATGAGTAAATGAGCTGTGAGCCTCTTGGGGGGAAACTGTGTCTTGTTTATCTGAACCTCCTGCCACACCTAACCTGGGGAACCAGCAAAGTGTTTTTACCTTTGTTGGCTTCTTGTGGTTAGCTAAACCTGGTTTAAACATCTTGGTTCAAGGTGTAGGGAAAAACCTCCAAGCCCACTGGGTAGTCTCTACGCTTGATTGGGGACAAGATCAGAGAGTCGCCTGTCTTAGGTCAAGTTCCCTGGAAGCAGAGCTAGAAGCAAGGATTTGGCATCTAGGATGGATGGAGCAGGGAAGCAAGGCAGGAGGGGCTGAACTAAGCTGGGCATGCACCCAGGGACCTAGAGCTTGCCAGAGTTGGAAGAGGGGATCATAAGTGCTGCCACAGAGGGGTCCCACTTAGATACGCAGTACTGGTCCTTTGAACTCTCCTACAAGCCATTGGTTTGAGCTGACCCTGGTGGCAGGAAAGCCAACAGGAATTAGTAGGAAGCTTTGGTTCGGTCAGCATTGTTTCTCCAGGAGCTGCTAACTTGGAACATAGGGATTGGTGTTGGGACAATGCCACCTCCTGAGCTTCTGACTCTAGGAGACAAGGGTGGCTGTCCACCCTCCTCAGCCCATAGCTGTGACTGCCAGCCCCAGGCACTCTCAACAGAACCAGATGGCCCTACACGGCTGAGACCAAGACAGCTGCCAAGTCCAGACCAGGGCACAATTCCCCTGGGGGTCTAGAAGCTCACTCCAGGAGTTGCTGTTGGATCCACCATATTGTGAGCTCACCCTATGACCTGACCGTTCCCATAATATCCTCACATTCCAGAGATTTCATATCCTAAAACATTAGCCAGGTGGAGACCAACTATGATCTGATCAGCCAAGGCTTCCAGAGGTGATTGAGATGAATCCTGTAGGCAGCTCCCCAGCCACTAAGATGTCTCATCCTGTTGTCTCCCACATTCTCAAGAACACACCCCCCACTGTCTCCACTCAAACCTCCACCTTCTTGAGAAATCCCCGTGTGTCCCCCCTTCTGTCTTCCTCTTGCTCACTCTTTCCAGTTCCCATCGCTGCTACCTACTTCTCAATCATCTAAGACTGAGCCCACGGTCAGGGATCTTCTCTTCCTAGTCCTTGTCAAATGACCTGGGGTCACATGGACCACCAGTGCTTCACCCTGCCCTCCTCATTTCATGACTCTCTTGTCCTCTGAGACACTCAACTTTCCACTCAGAAGGTGCCAGGCCCTGTCACCACCCACAGCTGCTCCACCCTTAGAACCTCCCCTTGGATTCAAGTCCGCAGATATTGACGGTTTATGTCAAGTCTCCATGCTAGGTTGTGGGAAGAATCAAACTTACTCCCTGGGCTCACACAGCTTACATCCTAGAGGAAAAGATGACTACTAAATGCCTAGTGACCTGGGCAAGCGTGGGGTGCTGGAATGCAGAAGAGGACCTGACAGGCAGGCATCCAGGAAAGGGCTCCCTGGGACCTCACAATGACAGCTGGACAAAGTGAGGGTTTTGCCAAGTGCTGGAGAACTGGACTTTGGATAGAGAAGGACAGCATTTATAAATCAACAGAGGGCAAATCTGAGGGTTGAAAGAAACCCAGGATGGCTGAGTCAGCTGAGGGGCTCATGTTTGGAGTGAGGCTGAAATGGACCAGGAAAGACCATGTAATGTACTCTTTGTAAATCTCTGTTAGTGATCTTGGACTTCATCCCAAAAACAAGAACAAGTCCTGGAAAGATTTATCTCTGGGGTGACGCCTGCGATTGCAGTGTGGAGCGACTGAGGCAGGCCTACCAATTGGGAATGTGATGCAATGGTCTGAGGAACTATAACGAAATGAACCAGGCAGGGTTGCTCAGTGGGCATGGAAGGAAATAGCTGGGTTTTACGAGATAGAATCAGAAAGATCTGCTGATTTGCTTGGGTGTGGGGACCAAGCACGGAGAAGAATCGAAGTGACTCTCAGGTTTCTGTCTCTGAATAGCAACGTCATTTAGTGAGTCCAGAGCCTCAGGAGATGTGCAGGTTTGATGGAGCTGAGATGACTTCCGTTTCAGACGTGTTAAGTTTGAGATACAAATAAGACACCTGGTTATTCCCCATCCCTCTTGGGCCACTGTGATCCCTAGCTCCTTGTCTTTCTCTCCCCCAGAATATTTGTGATGGTTCTTGATGTCTTCATAGCTAAGACATCTGGCCTCTCTTTCCTTGACCTTGCTTCCAACAAGCTTTTTTTCTACCCACCAAACCTTACCTCCTTACCTCCCACACCTGGTCTGTACCAAGACATCTCCCATCTTAGCAGCTCACTCAATCTGGTTCTCACTAGAGCAATCTTTCTTCCCCACCCCCTAACCCACCCCATCGCCCCTCTTCACGGTCCCCTCCTCTCACTTCCAGCTTTGACTCCCCAGCCCCCTGTAATCACTGCCACCCACGTATTCCCTACCCCTTGCTTTTGCATATGTCTCTCTAGTGCTTCGCCTGGCGAGACCTTCTCCAAGAAGCATCAGTTGCTGGGCCACCTGAAAAATCATACAACTGGACCGACTGATCTCAATGTAAACATCTGACAGCGATAACTCAAGTCGGGTACCCAGCACTTCTAAGCAGTCCTACATTTTCCTACAACTTTAGCCCAACTCTCCAAGATGACTAGAGGATACCCTTTTCTCTTCTCATCCTCCAGTCCTCATTCTTGAAATCCTAGAGCTTGACTGACGGACAGCCATTCCATGTCCCTGAGGAGCAAGAAGAGGAAGCAGATTCCAGACCGTCCTAACACACCTATCGCCTTCTTAGCATGATTGCCCAGTCCCTCTGCCTTCTCCTCTGCAATCTGGATGAAGCATCCCTGTGCCTAGCACACCTTCTCCACCTGCCAGCAGACCCCATCGCCTCATCTCTACTCCAGGCTGTACTCTCTTTCACAAATCCCCTTTCTGAAATACGCTATAATATTTCATCTCTCTCCCCTTGTAACTCTCTCTCAACATCACCTCCTTCTCCAGTTACCTACCAGTGTTGAAAAGCAATGTCTTCTAAGAGCTATATGTGTTGGTCTCCTCACCCCAGTGGTTTCCAACATGCCAAATCCAGGGGTCAGCCTTTCCACCCCAGCTCACTCCCTTGGCAGCGTTTGGCCACCGAGAGCCCCCTCCCTAAATTTCATCTTCTGCTGGCCTCCATGCAGCACTGTCTCCTCGCTTCCACCTCACTCATGGGTCTTTATTCATCTCTGGAGGTGCTTCCTCTCCATCTTCTAAATCTCTAAATATAAGACGCTCCGGGGCCCGTTCCCTGCACTCTTTCCTCCTCTGCAAACCCTTTTCCCCTCAGTTACCTCACTCGGTACCATCAATAAAACCATCTCTATCCTCCTGGTTTGTGTGTTCACAGCTAACGTCTTCCCCGAGAGACACGTGTATATGTCCAACTTCCCACTCATCTGCCTGAAAACAGATTCACATTGTCTTCCTCTTGCCCTCGGTGGAAGATGGCCTCCCCATCTGGCTTCCTACACAGTCAAAAACTCAAGCCCGGGAAAGTGGCTCAGTTGGGATGAGTGCTTCTTGTGCAAGTATAGGGACTGAGTTCAAACCCCAGCACCCACATAAAAAATTCTGGGCATGGCTTCCCATGCCCATAACCACAAGACTGGGGAGTGAGGAGGAAGGAGAATTGCTGGGACTTGCTGGCCACCAGCCTAGCCCTGGATTCAGTGAGAGACCCTGTCTCAGTTGAATTAGGTGGAGCATGGTAGAACAGGACACAGGAAGTCTTCCTTGGGTCTCCACACATGCATGCATAAGTGCACACACATACACCATACACACATGCACCACAACACATAGAACCACACACACACATTCACAGAAGGAAAAAAATACCTAGGAGCCTCCTTCTTCATAACTACACCCACATCATTGGCAAGTCATATTGGCAGCAATTCCAAAATATATTCAAAACCCAATCACTTCCTGCTATATCCAAGCCTTTCCATCCCAGGCCAAGATGCCGAGTTTCAACATCTGAACCCTTACAGCAGCTAATCTCCTTGCCCTCACTCCTTCTTCCCGACAGTGACCCAAAAGATCTTTGGACATGAGCAAAGTCTAATTAGCTCACTCTTCCGATTAAAATTACAGATAAGGATGTAGCTCTGTTGGGAGAGTGCTTGCCTGGATTCAATCCCCACCAGCACATAAAACTGGGTGTGGTTCTGAACACCCTCGATCTCACTCAGGGAGGTAGAAGGAGGATCAGAAGTTCAAGACTACCCTATCTCAAAAGAACAGCAACGACCAAAAGCTTTCATTAAAGCTATCTCCAAGCAGCTTCCCATTGTGACCAAACAACTAAACCAGGTCGGACTCTTTGCCGTAGTCTACAGGGCCCGGTAGGTGGGGTCTGGACTGCTCTCTAAAACGTTCCTCTCCTCCAGCCCTCCCATCTGCTCCATCTCTACTGCCACTGGCCACCCCATCCTCACCACCTCAGGATCTTTGGACCTGCTCTTTCTGGCTGCTCCTTTCTCCTAGAACACCACACATCTTTCTCCTCAGCATCACTCACACAGCTCCATTCCAGGGGGCTCTCATACCCGCCCCAGAAGCACACACCATGGGATGCTCTATCAGGTGACCTTCTTCTGTCTTCCTTGTAGCACATAACTGGCTTTGAAAACATCTTCGTTCCCATGGTGTTGCAGATGAGATCCTGGAGAACCAGGACTTGTTCACCCTTTGACTCTCCCACCCCCCCCCCCCCCCCCCCCCCCCGCCCCACTACCACCACCTTGGACTGATCCTCCACGTTCAGTAGGAACTCAATAAAAAGTGGGTCAACCGACTGACTAAGCAACATCCAGATAGAGCTGACTAGTAGCCTGTTGACAGAAGGGAGAAAGGCCTAGCCCAGAGATGGCGATCTGGGAGGTGTCTATAAAACCGGCTCAATGTAAGACGGGGTTTTGCTCCATAGTTGCTCATTATAGGGTTTCCTATAATGAAGTCTTTACCAAAAGTTCCTGCATTGTGGGCCATGCTCTCAATTACTACATTTTTAACAACAAACTGTTCTTTGGGGGAAACTCACTAGCCTAAAATAACCTCAATCAATGGCATTCGGGCTGTCATGGAAGTCACTTGGCAGATTCAGAAGGAAAAAATGGAGGCAGACATTTGGCACGGGTTTAATCTTTATTCCTGGTGGTAGGGCCTTACGATTTTAAGTATTGTCTTTGTAAGCACATTCTTTTATAAAAAAAACAATTTTTTTTTTTGAAAACAAAGGAAGTGCTTCTGTTATAAAGTGGGCACACACTGGATATTTCTTCCTTAAATTATACAGTTAAGGTTTTGTAACAAAGAACCAAAATTCAAGCCACTTACATGGATTCACAAATTACTGAGTTGTTGAGTGTAGTGGTTTACCCTTGTGATCCCAGCATCTGGGAGACTGAGGCAGGAGAATGCAGTTCACACTAGCCTGGGGCTACTTAGTGAGACTCTGACTCAAAGGTTTGTCTGTTTCTTTGTTTGTCTGTCTGTCTGTTTATTTGTCTGTTTGTCTGTTTGTTTATTTGTTATAACTATGTCACAGACAACTTGGACAAAGGTTTTGTGGTGTGGAGTAGATCGCTTAGTCAGTAGAGTGTTTGCCACAGAGCCTAAGGACCGGAGTTCAGTCCCCAAAAGCCACGTCAAAAGGCTGGGCAGAGTAGTGCACACCTGTAATCCTAGCAAGGGACAGGTGGACCCAGGGGCACGCTGGCCAGCCAAGCCTGCCTACACATGCACAGTGTCACACATGCCTTCACATACACACAGTAGTAATAATAATAATAATAATAACAAATATAAAATAAAAAAATAAATGTATAGCAAAGTCAGTTGACAGAATATATTTTCATTCCACCCACACCAAAGTTCATACATGGGTAAGCTCTGGACAAATGAAGAGAATCTGTCTCAAAGAAATAAAAAGGTAGATCCCAAAGATGACCTCTGGCTTCCACACACAAGCACACACATATGCTTGTGGCCCAGTACACGCACAGGCATCCACACAAACATGTTCACACACAAAATACACTTTTGATGGTGACAAAACTCTAATCAGATTGGCCCAAGTGTTCCAAGTGCAACAGTGTAACTAAAATTTATTTATAAAATATAAGGGCAGATGGCTCTGCAGTTAAGAGCACTTGCTGCTCTTGCAAAGGACCGGGTTCAATTTCCACCACTCACACGGCAACTTATAACCATCTGTAACTCCAGTTCCAGCAGATATGGCACTCTCTTCTGGCCTTTGTGGGCATCAGGCACCCATGTGGTGTACACACAAATATGTAATGGTGTACACACAAATATATGTAAAACACTCATACACATAAAAATAAAAATCATACCTTTTAAATATATATAAAGGGAAAAAAGAATACTATATCTTATACAATATATGGTTCTTAAAATCTATAGCATGAGCCAGTGAGATGGCCAGGTGGGTAAAAAGGGACCAGTTGCTGATTCTGACTGCTTGAATTTGACCCCCAGGACACACATGGTAGAAGCAGAGAACTGGCCTTCTGACTTCTACACATGCACAGTGTCATATAAACCTTCACATATACACAATAATAATAATAATAATAATACAAATGTAAAATAAAAAATAAATGTATAGCGAAGTCAGTTAACAGAACATATTTTCATTCCACCCACACCGAAGTTCATACATCAGGCTAGCCTCAGTCTGTTTGCAGGGTCATCTCACTGGGCATGGGGAGGACGGCTCCTCTGGGCCTCAATGGTAGATGGCGACTTGAAGCTGGTGAGATGGATCTGGACAAAGGCTGAGGGGGTGGGGGGCGGAGGGGACATGAGAAGACGCTTGAGGTGGCTCCTAGACCAAACAGAATGCAGGAAAGTCAGCTGAGGGTCATCGAGCCAAGGGAAGATGAGGTCACCGAGGAGGAAGAGAGGACCCAGGAAACGCAAGAAGCATGAGTCTGAAAGCAGAAAGCTGTCACCGAACACTGCTGTGGGTTGACTTAAATAAGAACCAAAACGGGCTCCACAGTGTCACAAGACAGCCACCGTGACAGAGGCAGGAGTGTCGTCCATGGATGTGACATGCCAGAACCAACCAGGTCCCGGTGAAGTGAGAGCCAAGCAAACGGAGACACTTAGCATGAGCACTGAGCTGGAGCATGGTGGCTGCCAGTGTAGGAAGAGAAGGGGTGCCGGCTGCGAACGAATGAGGGGTCACGGGAATAAAGGGCCAAGGAAAGGAGGGGGTCGGGAAAGGGGACGGGAGAGATGAGAATAATCAAGTCATGATGAAAAGACTCCAGTAGAGGAAGATCAGGAGCCTATAGAGAGCCCAGGAGAATGGGATCTGGAGCCCCACGGAGCTCAGACCAGAGACGGGTAACTATGGCAGCGGGAGAAGGGAGAAATGGTGAGGACCTCTGCCCCAGATGGCTGCCCCAGCCTCTCACTTGGAGCTCGTCTCTCATCCTCCCGTAGCCTCACGGGTACCCTGAGCTCCTCTCAGACCCACCCCCCACCCCCGACCCTCCTGTTTTCTTCCTTCTGTGTCCTGCCTAGGCTGGAGCTCCAAGCATCCCCAACATCGCCCTCACCGCACGTGGGACCGGCCAGCTAATGTCCATCATCCCTCTAGAACTGCAGACCCTCGCAAGGCAGGAACAGCATCCACCCCTCACCGCACGTACAGTCAGAGGCTACTAAACTCTCACTGAGGTGATCACCACAAAGAATTGCTGCCCCGCCGCCGGTATCCCCACTGTTCTTCTGCCCCTCCCCAGCGCCCCCCCCCCGAGTCCTACAGGACATACCCATCTCTACACCTGTGCTGGTTCTGCTGAAGCAACCCCCACAGCCAGAGGGAGGCCTCTGCGGACCCCTGCCCCTCAACACACCTTGATCTCTGGCTACTGGCCATGGTCGCAGCCTTCTCAGTGTCTCCACTATCAAATTTCCTATCCTGTGCCATGTATTTGTTATCCCAGAAGTAGAAAGTCTTCTTGCAACT